TGTGTATTAAATTCTCCAGTCTTACTTTCCTCATTATATGTCCCGGAAATTTCACTTATTTCTTTCTGATTGTAAGTACAAGTCTCCTCGTTGATACTATTTCCCGTCTTGCTTGTTCTGTTCATAGAATTCTCAGCATCTGTCGATAGAACCACATCTCTGTCGCTTCATATCGTTTAGAAGATTAGATATTACACAATAGTTCAATTTCTGGGTCTGGCAGTGGAAACGGGCGAGCAATAACTAAACAGTACTAAATAAATAAAAAGATCGAGACGATATCCCTCGACATGAGAAGTGGAACGAGAACAGCCTACTCCCGTAGATTAAATAAAGGGTTCAATTCGCCGTTCCCTGTAGGTTACCCAGATTGATTTACACCTGAGGAAGGCCGAACGACACAACGGCTGAAACGTTGTGAGAAAAACAACAAAGATGAAGACGGACAATAGTCCGAATAAAAATAATGTAAATAATGATCATTCTTCATCGCAGAGACTCAGATAAAACTTTTTCCTTTGTTTCTAAGGATATTTTCCTGTCTCTTAATACTTTGCTTAATTTCTAAAAGACCTTTTTTCTTTCACTATTCGCCTTCGGATTTCTGCGTTAAAGTTTCCATCGTCTAGGATTGCACTAAAATGTCTGTATCTACTTGATTCTAACGTCTCGAATACGTAGGATAAAGCTTGGGTTGTCTCTTTTGCTGATGACCATACATTTTGTCATCTAATAGCCTTTTCTTTGTGTTTTCCATTGCGTTTCCAGTCTGTGATGTTACAAGTGTCTGTTAGTTGACAAATCGATTCTACTTTAAATCAATACATAGTTTTTTTGGTCTTTTTCGGTATGTTTATTTGAAACTGGACACCATTTCTCTATGGTTGACAGCCACAATTCTCCTACGTCATTTAGAAAAGGCTGCCAACAATGCTGAACTCTATGTCAATGGCTCTAAAACTGAATTCATAGGCTTCAACCATCAAGGCTCAATACAAACTGTCTCCGGCGAACCAATAAAATACGTCGCATCTTTTACATACCACGGAAGTGAAATGCTGAAAAGGATTTGAAATTCACATAGCTACAGCTAAGGCTGCCTAAAATAAAATGGATGTAATGTGGAAATCTGATTTATCAGACAATCTCAAGAGGAGATTCTTTCGAGCCACTGGGAAGGCTGTGTTAATGTATGATGCTTCTGTTTGGACGTTAGCTAAAACCATAGAGTTTAAGCTTGATGGAACCTACATTCGGATGCTGACATATTTGACATCTCTTGAAGACAACATCCAACTAAATCAAAGCTCTATGGACTCATCGCTGTTATTTCTACAATCTCATGGGAACGCATAAAGCTCTTTGCAGGTGGACACTGCTGGCGAACAAAAGAACAACTTGCGCGTGATCCACTGCTCTGGATACCTAGACATGGCGAAGACGTGCTGGTCGCTCAGCACCCACCTATATTGACCAGCTAAGTCTTCCTAATGGTCTAACTGTGATGATTGGCGTGATAGACTCATGAACGTCCGAGCGAGCTTGACCGAATAATAAAAAACAACCTCTTGTTTTTTTTATCCTCTTTAGTTTGTTTTCTTTTGTAATTTATTTTTCTTGCTCCATTACTGTAATTATAACGCTGTTATGTAATGTTCTACATAAACAACTCTTTTCATTTATTTTCTTTTCATTAATTCGTTCGCCAAACCACATTTTTTTACAGAATTAACCCTTCACCCTTCTTTCAATTAATATTTATGTTCATCCTTATAATTGACTCTTTTCTGTTTTCTGCGTTTTGTCACCAGAAAAATCCTCCAATATTGAACACACCAGAGAGATTGTGATACTCACGCATTTATAAACTGAATGAGTAATTAAAAATAAAAATAGGACCTAATGTTTGAAATAGTTGCGTGTTTCCCACTGTTACTCAAGCGCAAAACCGAAAATTGCTAAAAAACCAGAATATTATCCCAAAAGATCGAGTCACGTTCTTAAATCGCCTCTTCAGAACTAGACATTCACCAAGATGTCGTGTATGAAGCCAAACTCGGAAATTAAAAAAATATTTAAATTATCAGCTACTTTCTGATCAATGGTTAAAATGGCTGCGGACGAATGCAGGCCGTAGCTTTTACCGGGCACCATCCTACTTCGAACTTTTTAGATTGGCGTTACAGAAGCAGTAACAATACACTGTATCGATTAGGAGAAACTACATCACTTTCAACAATAGTAACAACGAAAATGGATAGCAAGATGCTGACGTTCCACACTATCTCCCTAAAAGGTTAGGAAGAAATGCCTGGAAAGAGTGGGAGGTGTGAAGCCTATTCTCATGGAATACTCTTTTAAGAGTAATTTTTAAAAATTCAACCGACAGCATCAATGACTACTCGGTTAATGAATGCCGAATGTTTCCTTATAAAGAAATGACTAATACCAGTATTACAATTATATATTACTCACACACACACACACACACACACACACACACACACACACACACACTGCTAAACCAGTTCAAGATGATAACCAATAATTAAAAGAATTATACTTTTTTAAGTACCATGTTTTTTTTTCTTGACGTAGTTGATCATGGCTTTCTACAGATTCCTTTTTTTTATTATTTGTGAAATAGTTTGGCTTCTTGAGAAAGATAATGTAGTGGTTTATCGTTGCTTTCTCTTAGACTAGCTAAAACTCAAAGCTGTGGATTAATGTCTCCTCTGATATTAACATTCCACACTAGCTCAAACAAAATGTTAGGAAGTAAACCCCTTTCAATACGGGAAACAACAACAACTTTCATTGTATACGAGGAACTTATTTTTCTGAAAGATTATTTTAAGAGAAATATTTTATAAATTTCAACCGAAAGAAGCACTAAATCATGGTCAATGAATACTGAATATTTCCTTATAAACAGTTAACATTACAATTACCATAACCCGTGCTTGGTAACGCAACACAATCGCCCTATCCTTCTCTCCGTATCTACATTGTTTGTTGTAAGTTAAATCGAGTAGAATGTAAAAGAATAAGCCCGTGACTGCTGGTGGTTTTTAATATTGCGGGATAACGTAAAAGAATGTAAGTAACATCTGTCTTGTACCTGAGATTTAAAATTATAAAAAGTACGTCTGTAAGATATAGCAGTGACGCTTTTAACAGAATGGATCCAAGAAATATGAAGTCTTTGTCATTGTTTTTTAGAGTATGTTTGTTTAGCGGCATATCAACTTCATATGGGCCATATAATGCCGAAATTTAATTTTCTTGGGAAATTTCTTTACCAATTTGTTTTTTTTTTTTTTTATGTATTGCCGGTAATATTTATTTTTTAAAAAGATGTATTCCTGGTAATTTTTTTACTATGAAAATGGATTGCTATTATTTTTACTATGAGATTTATTATACTTTCATAGTATTTTCACATCATTTTGAGGGTTAACTATTTGCCTATATCTGTGACCCTAACAGGTGCTACCAACCCAGGTCAGGGTGGACATGAAAACAACAGCAATTAAGAGGTGCTTCTGAAAACCTCCTGATCAGAGGCCTTGCTGCCGGGTGTAGTTTAGTATCATACCCAGTACGGTTACTTTTTTGAGAGGTCAGTGGTATTTAATCGGGAATGTATATAGTGACAGTATCTAGATGAAAGAAAAGTTTTTGATTACATGTCATATTTTGAATTATGAAATCTTCTTTTAGATTACGGTGGGGGCAATTCATAAAATATTAACAACATCTATCTGTTGGTCTCTTTGTTATATTATTTGGTATATTTAGTCAGCAATTAGTCATTTATGCCACTTTGATTGAAGACCAAAGAAAGTTTATTTTAAAACTTTTTTTTAAAAAATTGCCTTTTCTACAATTCGGATTGTTATTTTTATTTTTTTCTGAAGAATATTAAAAAAGGGAGGCAGAAAACATTGAACAACTTCTGTTTAAATTTTCCTCGAAAACCACAAAATGGTTCGAACCGTAGAATTAAATAAAACAAGGCCATTTCATTGCTTTCAACCAAACCTATACACATCCGACACAGGCAGAGATGCACGTGTGTGTGCGTGTGCGCACGCATGTGCACACAGCATGTGCTCACATCCACACTCTCCCTATATATATATATATATATATATTTACACACATATATATTTTATTACTTAAACGTTATTTTTAGTGGATACCAATATTTTTAGAGACGCACCTTTTATTTATTAAACTGTAGATTTGTGTATTTACATCTACCGGCCTGAATACTCAAAAAAATCTTATTCAAGAAAAAGATGCGCCTTCCGGCAGTATTTGAACATGCAACGGTTTCTCCTGCAAAGGAAGATGCAAGTTCAATTGCTGTCGGAGTGCGCATTTTTTCTTTAATAATATTTCTCGAATATTCAGGCCAGTGAACGAAAATATATATAATTTACGTCTACCGGCCTGGGTATTCGAGAAATCTTATTTAAGACAATATTAATAAAAAAAAAAAAATTTTTTTACTTTTTTTATATATATATATATATATATATATATATATATATATATATATATATATATATATATATATATATATGAGGTGTATTGAAATACTCTTGGCCTGACCAAGAAGGGATTTTAAAATTGTTGTTTGGTCATTTGGTTAGGTTTCTGTGTTGGTTCAAGAACTTGTCAGCACCGCTCGAATAATTTATGTTATTCTGTTTTTCTCTTTCCTTCTATTCAATTGTATCAGTTTATCAATCAAATACCTCGTCAGATATAATGCATTCTGTATTAGCACTTGAAAAACAATATAATACAAATCTCCTTAAAAAATGATTTTGTCTCAAGTTATCACAATTATTCTAGTTTTGTCTGAGTTGCAACCACTAGGTTAAAAATAACCCCCCAAAACACACAAACCATAAAACTTTCCTCCATTTATCACTTCCACTCATCTCCTTCCTACATCCTCCCTTCATCCGTCTCTTTTTAAATCTGAGAGAACTCTTTTTTATACCTAAATACTTTCTTTCTTTCTTTCTTTCTTTCTTTCTTTCTTTCTTTCTTTCTTTCTTTCTTTCACTCAACAATATTAGCCAATGTTGAGAGCGGTGTACACGTGACTGAATCTATCCAACCAATCTAGCAATCAAATACATCGGATTTTCTACGTTCTAACCAATGTCGATTTGAAAGTGTTCCATTTCATAGCTTGAGGGCTCACACCGATATTAAATCAAGCCTCCACAAGCCAACAGGGGACGGTCTAAATATAGGTAAAGTTCTGGTGGTTGGTGCTGGGATGGTCCCTCCAATATTGATATTTGGATACAGCAACGTCACACTAAAAGTAAACTGTGCTAGCAACAGGGTGAAAAGAAGCAATGATTGTACAGCCAAGCCTCCTCCTATTTTGACGTTTCTATTTATATAATCCACAAAAATGAAAACAGCTTCTTCAGTCATCGTAGTTAAACGTAAACGCAATAATTTCAATAACCCTTACTGCGCATGCCTTTTGTCTTATGACAACGATTATGACAACATAATTATGACATCATATACTTAAAATGACTATTACGACTGAATAGTGAGTTTAATCCTAATTGGGCGCCACATACTTTCGGCCTTACGCCACATTTAAGCTACACTTATAAAATTACCATCTACATATAAAATTCTGGAAATTCCGTTAGTCCGTCCGTCACACCCTCTAAAATACATTGAACGATCGAAACCAAATTTTGTAGAGAAGTGCAAACAGGTAAGGAGGTACAAAGTACAGTTAGTGTGTTATTAGGATGCGTAGCTTAGTACAATAAATTTTCATTAATTTTTGGGAAAAATTAAGTTTTGTTTTTTACCGTAGAAAATATTCCCACTATTTAAAAAACAATTTAATGATTTAAATAACAAATACTTATTTAATAAAAATGCAATGTTCTTTTTTGTATATCTTTTCTTTAAGTTTTTATATACAAGAATCTGGTTTCCATTTCACTTTGTGTTTGCGAGATCTATAAACAAGGCTAAGCGCTTCAAAAAGCTGAAATTTGTCTTCAGAAAGAAACATTTACTCATGGCCAGTTGTACGTTGCACGCACAAGAGTAAGAAATCCTAAGAATTTATTCTTTGCTCTTAAAAAGGAAAAAAAAATCTTAAAAATATTGTTTACCATGAAGTCCTATAAAATTAAATTAAATTAAGGAAATTATTAAACCGCGAAGTAGGTTTTTGTCAAATTATTTTCCCAAACAAATCATCTTATTCAAATATCATAGATTAGTTTGAGAAATTAAGCGAAACGTATAGTTTGTTAATCCCGACAAAAATGTTAGTGATAGCTTCAACAATGCTAAATATTGTGACACGTTAGTGTTGCAAAGTTTTTTTTAGTATACTTAAACTGTCTGAATTAGTGTACTAATTTTCAATTCAATCGTTTCTCGGCTTTTTGTTTATTAAACAAAATACATTGTTTGTGGCCTCAGGGAAAGAGAGATATGTTCAGTCATCATTACCTATTCTACTCCTAGTTAGTTTTATTCACCATCCATTCATCCTAACAATTGACACATTAACCACTAGATCTCATCCGTCTCCATTCAATTCAAACATGTACAAAATACCGCATTTTCACAGGGAATATAATTTCGCCGTTACACATTTGAACTAGTTTATCTACAACACTTGTATATGGTTATAATGGGGCCTCACATCAGTGAGGGGGGCCGATGTGCAACTGAAACCCTTGAGAGGAAGGCCCCGAATCTCCTGATGACCCCAGTTTAAAATTCGAGAGGAACACATCAAATTCAGTGAAGTCATATGCTGTAGTGAAGCTCGGTGGAAGTGTCATTGGCATGAGGAGCATTACACATTCAGCTCGCTTCAGGTGAGTTTCAATTACTTTCCAGTAATTTCCTTCTTCTATTCTTTTCAAGGGAGTGGGAGAATGTAAAAGGCTGGTCCAATCAAGATAAAAAGAGTGGATTAAAAAACTGTGGGGATATGGAATACTTTTGGCCTGAGATCATGCATGGCCTATTTAAACAACGGAAAAGGTCTCAGTATGAGCTAGTGCCATCCTTTGGCAAAAGAATGGTAGGGTCAGGGAGAAAAGATCGGACATTTGCAGCAATGGCTATGGGGATTGAGAAATTTTTGTCGTTACAAAATACATTTGTGTAGAACCTGTATGAAACCCGTAATGTAGTGATCGTAACATAAATTGTTTATGCCAAATTAATATGGTTCAAATCGAAGGTATGTTGTTTCAGGTTTGTCATGGAATATTCGATCGTTTTGCGAGGGTGTGAGGGATTCACTTTCTTCCCGCGTTGGTCGGGCATTTATATAACTTCATTTTATGCAGTTATCTTGTGTGTGTATATCTTAAGCTGGGTTTACGTTTTTGTTTATATTAGTTCACCTTCGAAACCTGATTTGCACTTGGCGGCGGTTTTGAGATCGCCTTCTAGGTCAATCCTTATGGCATCTGGTTTTTTTGACTTTCTGAGATGACACTGAGTTATCTTATTTTGGTATCTTTTAGGTCACCATAGATAAACTCTTTTAGATCAAAATTTCCATTTTACTTCTAAAAATTTATATTTAATCTTACGTAAAAATGTTGTAAGGGAGATAATTCAACATTTTGTAGAAAATTAATGCGCGGTGACCTAATTAAAGGTAAATCCAATTCTGGCCTCTACTATTTCTTGGCGGGAATCATATGCGCCTTATATTTGCCTTTATTGGGAAGAAAATAAATTCCCTCACTTTATCCAAGTTATTCATCATAAGGTGTAAGTTATTGATTTACAGGTTATAAATGTTTAATAATATTTATACCGCTTGAGTAATGTAAGGTGTTTCGAATATCGCCCTATTATTAATAGAGTGAATATCTTCTATATTTATTTAAATTGTGTGTATTTAGTCAGCAAATGTTATTTAAGGCAAATGCTATTAAATATAACAGACATTTTGTTTCGATTGATTTTATTAATATTTTCCAAATTATGAATAATCCTTCTCAGATAAGGAGGAAATTCTGTCAGGACTTGTCCAATGATCATTTCAGAAGAAATATGGTTCAAGCTTTCGACTTTCTTAAGTCATCATCAGGGTAAGTAAAGACAAATGGTGAGTTTCGTAGAGCTGTTGAGTGTAGTGACGTGGATAAAGATTATTTCGACGTAAAAATTTTCCTACTAGCAAGACATGGCGTCCCTCTGTCTTTTCTATAATTATTTTCACGGCAGTTATTCTAATGAGTTCTCTTCCGTGATACAGCATGAATTTAAGCGTGGATTGGCTGTTAGGTCTCATAGTTTTACTGTTGAAATAGCTAAGTCCTATTCTAATAGTTTTTCTCACACTTCTCACCTGTTGAACACTCTTTCAATTTCTTGCTGTTCTGGCAACTAGAATCTTCAAAAATTTGAATGCAGCGTCAATCGCCACCTTCCTGAATTCTCGCCATTTTTGCTCTTTCTTCTCACTAAATTCACTTCCACTCCCAGTAACCTCTTGCGTCTTAGTGTCATTATCGCCTTGCTTGGGGTGAAATGACTAAAAAAAGATAATGTGTAATGTTAGTATGATGCATACGGCTATATGAAACCTTCATTTTTAAAATCTTCATTTGTTGTTTCAGTAGACTTTTCCTTTGTAGATACTCCTTTGTGGAAAAACATCTATATGAAACAAGCAGGATTAACTCACAGTAGGTGATATTGTTGGTAAGATGGAGCGTTTTTATATATTTATTTTCTATTTGCCAATAATATGGACAGAGTTAAAAACAAAATACGTTTGTTTTTCCAGAAAACGATTGTCTTTATATTTACCTTGCTCGAATTATTTGTCGGTAAGCAGGTGAATCAAATACTCGATTTACACTATTTACATTGTTCGGACTATTGTCCTTATCTTTATTGTGATATTCACGACGTTTCGGTCGTAATAGGCTCCGGCATTCTTCGGGTGTTATACGTTGGAATTTTGAACCGAACACTTTATTTCGTCCATCGAGGTTGATTGTTCTGGTTCCACGTGCCATACCTGAATATCTCACTTTCTTCTTCATCTGTAATTACTTTAATAACTAAACGCTCCAAGTTATTGTTCACCTCTGCTATGCAAGTGTTTTGTTCATTTCTGCCAGGTATTAAACTCACAATTCTTTGGGTCAAGTCACTGGCAACCAACGCTTTTATCCACTGGGAGTTGTGTCCTTGAGGACATCAATGTATGTATGAATTTTAGGGATTTATAAAACTAATACTCATTTTTATCAGAGCTCATATTATAAATGGTGGTGATTATTGTCTTTCTCTAGCACGCTGTATTACCGGTTCCCATATTGTATTCATGTCTGTGCTTGGCCGGATTAGAAGATTTTTGTGGCATCTTAGGAGATCGCCACCCCTTGTGGGGTGAGGTTGAAATAATAGACAGAGAACATCACTGGGAGATACGAAAACTTAAGGAATTCTAGGCCACAAAAATCTCCTTGACACAAAAAATTTTGAGTTCTATATCTGAAATAAAATTAATTAGGTCACCACGCATTAATTTGCTACAAAATGTTGAATTATCTCCCTTACAACATTTTTTGCATAAGATTAAATATAAATTTTTATAAGTAATGTATCTTTAACCTTATTTTTGATCTTTCATAACGTAGGTAAATTTTACATAGACCATGACACTAGCTGGCTTATAGCATATATAAATGTCAAACTTGGATGAATCCATCAAGTAGTTTCTGAATCAACAGGAAAATTTCGTTAGAAACAAAGCAAAGAGTAGTGAGCTCTTATGTAATGTCGGTCGTCCCATATGGCAGTGAATGCTGGAACAATTAACGCACAGATGAAGGAGAAACTTGGGACGATGAAAATGCGGTTTCACAGAAAGATGTCGAGAACACCAAGGACTAAACACGTGAGCAACGACGAATTTTTTTTTTTTTTGACATAAAACAGAAGCAAAAAGGACACTTATGCTTAACAGAGAGACAGCTGAAATTCTAGGGCACATAATGATGGCTTGGCAAACTTGACGCTCACAGGACATATTGAAGATAAGAGGATCAGAGGAAAACAACGTATAAAATTCCTAACGATCGTATATAA